CCCCATTCACACCATGTAACAATGATGAGGATGTATGTTCAGGGCTGCATTGCAACATTGATTGTTCGGATCACTGGTATCTAAGTCTTCCGTTGTGCTATCTTATACTTTGTATTGAGAGGTCGGTTCTTGTTCTGGTCTCCAACGTTACAGTATGCAACAGTCTGGCAGCTCTGGTCCCATATCCATTCTGGGGGGCATCACTCCGGTTCCTACTCCACCGGCAAGTCAGAAAAAGGATTACATCAGAGACGCACACGCACACGCACACACACACGCGCACTCCTCCCCATTTTATGGTTGAGAGGGGTGAGTGGCCGGCATTGATTACTTCCAGAAGGAAGGATGTACACCCCCTCACCCCTGCCTAAGCTAGCCTATTTTCAATACCTAAGACTTTAAAAGCTAGCCTTCCCACCCCTCCCTTTATTATAACTGTATTTAGACTGAAAGATACCCCAAATACAGCTATATAATTACTCTGGCCGCTGACGCTTCTCTATGGTGGTCCCTTACTAGCCAGCTTGTTCCTCTCAGCTGTTGGGCTTTCATTTTAGCTTTCTGTACTGGAGCTGCTACTGTCTTCACCCAAATAGAACGCCCGGTCATTATCGCCGCATCTGGACTGAATGGTGGGCCAAATGCAGCTATAATGACCGGGTGTTCTATTCAGGTGAAGACGGTAGTCCATTTTCTTGCAACTTCTCTTTAACTGCTGTTTTTTTTTTTTTAAAGATGCCTAGAAAGTTAAGAGTCTTGTGTTATCCTTAAACCCTACGCCCTACGCCTTCCACTGCTCACCGCTTGAGTTCTATATCCCTCCTTTCTCTCTACGGAGCCGTTTATGGAACCTTCCTCCGAACCTTCCCTACCCCTTTTCGTTTGTCGCTATGATGTCACTACCACCCCGTTCAGGCCTCCTTTAGTGTTCCCATCCTTTTACCTTCACCCTTTCTTCCCTAAACCCTAAACCCTTGAAGCTGTATGGCGTGTGGGACTTCATTGTTCTCTTTGGACCCTAAACCCTAAACCCTCTATCTGCATTATTTCTCTGAAGAAGAGGTCAACCAGACCGGAACCACCCTTCCGCTCTCAAACTAGGTCCATTGGCGTAGCTCCATCCTGCTTTACCCTTGGGATGGATGGCGGGATGCTGCCAGTCTCCAAAGTGAAGGTCTCTACCGGTTACTCGTGCCAATAGCAGCCCCCCTGTTCAGCCATGTCTCCTCAAATTCCTTCTGCATTTTGGTCCTTTTCTGTTCTTCCACTCATTCATTGCATCTTACTTCTTCTTCTTCTTCTTCTTCTTCTTCTTCTTCTTCTTCTTCTTTTTTTAATACTACACACTTGGTGCATATTTCTATTTGGAACTGTATGTGGCTCAACTTTGGGTTCTTATTCCTTCTTAATGTGCTTCGCGTCCCACTTCCTGTCATTCAGAAGGGAGGAGGATGGAGGGAGGGGGTGGTGCCCACTATCACTGTCAATTGGTCTTTCCCCCCCCCCCCCCTTTCTTTTTCTCCATTGAAGTGGTTCAATCGAAGTACTACTCCCCTCCCTCCTGACATTGCAGTTTCGAACACGACGACCAGCAATTGTGATTTCACTGATGAGTCTGCGATGACTTCAAACTTCAAAGTGTTGTTAGTAATTACTAATTTCTTACTGATGATTGCTTTTTGTTTTTTGCTCTTTTCTTTGCTGATGAGTCTGTGCTGACTGTTGTACTTGGTTCTCCTTGGCAGTTGCAAGCAAACATGGATCCGAAGCATCGCGACAAGGTTGCCTTCTTAAGAGTTTGCTCAGGTGAACCCTCTTTGAACCCCTGCTATCTTATGTAATTCATTCTATGATGATGATGATAATGATGATGATGATGATGATGGTTATGGTTATGATGATGATGAGGAGGAGGAGGAGGAGGATAGTATGATTCTATTTGATCCATAGCAGCGGCAGACATGCTAGTTTGCGGATACTATGCCGGCCGCCAGACATGGAGTTAGAAAAAAAGGAATAAACAAAGGGTTCTGCTTCCCCTATCCCCCTGTATTTGCACCCCTCTTCCTCTGAGAAGGAAGCTCTGTGTACCTGCGGGAACACACAGTGAACCACGGGGACCACAGGGCCAGAGGTCTGTGCTGAGACTACGGCCAAGAGGTCTGTGCTGAGACTACGGCCAAGAGAGACACATTGGATCTGAGAAGGCAAACGTGAGATCACAGAGATAGGAATGAGGGAATGTAAGCAGTCTCTGCAGTTTTGCAGCTACTCGCTAGGACTCTGTGGGAGAATGGTGAGGGGCGGCCCTTGTTTTCTAGGGGAAGAGTGGTCGTTGAGCTGCTACAACCTCCCCATTTTCCTGTCCCTCCGCTTCTCCCTCCCAAACCCCCTGATTGGTGCTACCTTGAAAGCTCACCCCAATTCATCTCCTGTGGAAGTGGTGAACTGTAGGAGAAGGGAGAGAGAGAGAGAGAGAGAGAGAGAGAGAGAGAGAGAGAGAGAGAGAGAGAGAGAGAGAGAGAGAGAGAGAGAGAGAGAGAGATGATGATGACTAACATTCAGGGGGTTTCAAGACTGTTAAGGATGATGAACTGCCCTGGCAGCCATCTGGTATAAATTGGCAGTGTGGCCACTGAAACCCCAACAATATACCAAACCGAAAAAAGAACTCACAACCTACCTGTGGAAGAATAGTCTGAACCCTCCAAATTGCTTGAGCAGAGTCAGATGGGATATTCTCACCCTCCCACGAAATGCAAGGGGACTGGGGATATTGGACCCGGAAAGGGAAAGCGAGGCCTTAATCTTCAAAGTCCTTGTTAGGCTCCTTATGGGCAAGGATATCCCGAGGGGGCCCCTAGCCTGTCTGCAAATATCCAATCTGGCCCCACAAACTGCTGCTGCACACTGCGTGCACCCGTTCAGATGGCTCACCAACTCATGCTGGTCGATCCCGCCCCCCCACAACAGATACATGGTAACACTCATGTGCATGCCACTAGACAGGATATCCTTCTCGACCCCCTGTGGCCCAACATGCTCAAACTTTGGAGGAAACAAGGCCCAAAGATGAAGCAGCCACCAAACAGATGGCACAATGTATGGAGGCAGCCACTATTTGGCAACTCGTACATCCTCGACAGTGCAGGTAACCCCTTCACCCTCAATGCTAACTCATCCTGGCTCACTTGGGCCAAGAAAGGGATTTTCACTGTCGGAGACCTATGGGACCCGGCCAAAGGTGACTGGGTCACTACGGACCAGCTGCAGCACAGACTAAAATATGCAAAGTCGGTGGGGGTCAAAGCTAGTCAGTTGACGGAGGCTATCCCGCTCTCCTGGCATCTTGCCCTCAAAAGAGGTCCCTCAGTCCAACGAAATGACTGGGTGGTTAACTTTGCTTACTGTGTCCGTTCTCGGGTCATATATAGAGTCCACAATACGAATGCAGGCAGATGCTCATTGGAGGCCTACCAGCCCCAGCTCCCGGATGTCGGGTTCTCTAAAATTGTCAGAACCGAAGACCTGGACGTCACTGAGGGATGGGGAGGGCTTATGCAAGTAAGGGTGGTGGGGGACACCGATAAAGGATTCTATGTGTACGAGCCAACCACGTCGGTGGCAAGGCTCCAGTTTGATCCGGATGAATGGGAATGGCCAGGGCACGAGCCCATGAGCTTCTGGGAGTACTCGGTTAACGGGGCCTACCGAGCCTCGTGCCCAGACTTACCCCTCAACCAAATTCTGCCCCGAAGATGGGAACGGGACTCACCGCTGGATGCACAATTGGTGCAGAATCTGTCGTGGAAAACCTACTCAAAATTCATGCCAACTAACCTCAGATCTCTCCAATGGCAGATTCTGCACCGCTGTCTCCCCACCCCCGATTGGTTGGTATCCAGGACGAACCTGGAACAGAAAGGGTTGCTGTCCCCCATTTGCTCTTACTGTGGCAGAGCAACGCCGCCGCCAAGGGCGACACTGGAACACTGCCTGCTGGCATGTCCTATGGCCACCCAAATATGGCAATGGTGGGATGCCGCGTTTCACTCGCTCACTGATCACCACATACCGTGGGACCTGGGACTAATCCTCCTAGGGAAAAACCAGCATCTGATGGCCCAATGGTCTCCCTACGCAGTCAATATTTTCAAATATATGCGGCTCCAGGTTTTGAGGCTCACGTGGCGAGCAAGGCGCCTTCGAAAGGAAAGACCACCAATTGGGCCTGCAACAAGCCCAACAGGCAATAGAAGAAGAGATCAGAACCAGAACACAGGGAGCTTGGAAAGAAATGAAACAGGCGAGTTTTGAGGAAAAGGACCGTGCAGCCAGGGCAACGATTATTTCAGTTTACTGTCAGCTGTGGCAAGATCCACAACAAATTCTCTGACTTAACTGACGGACTGGACATCAGGTGGAAGCCATGGAGGGCCGTAGAGGCTTCGTGGCAAAGAAGGCCCTTTGCCTGTTTTGAGGTCCCCCATCTCCCGACGAATTATGTGCTACTCAATAACTGAGTCCTACCCCTTTGCCACCCCCCGCCGGACATTAGTTCAAACCTTCCTATCCCATTTCCCCGGCCCCCCACTCCCATCCCCCCCCGCCGCTGTCTGTGTGACTCCATCTGGACACGGTACATCATAGCACCCCGTGTTACGGACTTCGCCAGGGCTCGATCCCTGGTCTATCTTTTTGCTGTTTCAGCTGCATCCCGTTTTCGGCCTGGCACCCTTTTTCCAAACCCCTCCTTTGGTACCGTAGGATTTTGGACAACTGGCGCCATGCTGCAATTCGGGCGCCACTTTCAAATACTGCATTTTTCAGTTCTGCCCTCGGG